CGATGGACTCTGAAAAACAAACTGAGGGTTCTAGAGGGGAGGAGGGTGGGGGGATGGGTTAGCCTGGTGATGGGTATTAAAGAGGGCACATTCTGCGTGGAGCACTGGGTGTTATGCACAAACAATGAATCATGGAACACTACATCAAAAACTAATGATGTAATGTATGGTGATTAACATAACAATAAAAAATTTTTTAAAAAAAGAATATGAGAATTTTAGCAAAATATTGGCAACTGTAAGATCAACATTAGTTCTCAAATTTTTTGCCAAAACAATGTCGTTTGTTTTCCCTTTCTATATCTTTCTTCTAGATCTCATCTTAGCAAGCAAGGAATAATACTTACAGAAAAATCTATTGTGCATAAGGTGGAAATTGCAAGAGTGTGTGGAACTAATGAATTAAATTTCATATAGTGATAATGTAAAAAAAAGAAAAGAAAAGAAAAGAAAAAAGAAATAGGTGCTTTTTTTCTTCAATGTTATATTTTAAAATAATATATTTAATGTAATTATACTAGGGTGTATTTATATTTATTTCTTACCTTTCTTTTCTTGAAAGAGAGCTGGTCGAAGTAATGCCAGGATCTTTTCTAATTTGAGGTTTTTCATATTTTTAAAATCAGGGAAGAACATATCAATAAAGCGGTTAACATCAGTTATATTTTCTTCAACATCACAAAACTGAGATATATGTTGTCTTTCCAGATATTCTTCTAAGCTGTAGAAATCCAAAATATAATATAAGATTATTATAAACTGAAGCTTAATAACCATGACAGAAAATTAAAACTGGTAAGTTCACAAATATTTTGTGGTTTAATAAAACAAATAAAAATTGAATGTCATCAAAAGATAAGTTGTATTTTTTCTGTCAAATCAAAGAGTATGTATTTAATTCAGCTTTTTGTTGAACCAATCCAAAAATCAATTACATGAAATCATGTATGCTTGACTTCATAGGAGGAAAAAGAAGACCAACATAAAATATGGCTAAAAAATGTTTTTCTTGGGGCACTGGGGTAGCTCAGTTGGTTAAGTGCCTGACCCTTGATTTTGGCTCAGGTCATGGTCTTAGAGCTGTGAGATCAAGCCTTGCATCAGGCTCTGGCTGGGTATGGAGCCTGCTTAAAATTCTCTCTCTCCCCTACCCCATGACTCAGCAATTGCAGTACTGGGTATTTACCCCAAAGATACAAATGTAGTGATCTGAAGAGGCACCTGCACCCCAATGTTTATAGCAGAAATGTCCACAATAGCCAAATTATGGAAAGAGCCCAGATGCCCATCAACAGATGAACGGATAAAGAAGATGTGGTATACATATACAACGAAATACTACTCAGCCATCAAGAAAAAAAAAAAAAGAAATCTTGCCATTTGCAAAGACGTCAATGGAACTAGAGGGTATTATGCTAAGTGAAATAAGTCAATCAGAGAAAGACAATTATCATATGAGCTCATTCATATGTGGCATTTAAGAAACAAAACAGAGTATCATAGGGCAAGTGAGAGAAAAATAAAACAACACGAAATCAGAGAGGGAGACAAACCATAAGAGACTCTTAACCATAGGAAACAAACTGAGGGTTGCTGGAGGGGAGGGGGTTGGGGGGATGGGGTAACTGGGTGATGGGCATTAAGGAGGACAAGTGATGTGATGAGCATGGCGTATTATGTAAGACTGATGAATCACTGAACTCTAGCTCTGAAACTAAAAATACACTGTGTGTTAATTAATTGAATTTAAATAATAAAAAACAATTTTCTCTCTCCCTCTCCCTTTGCCCTCCCCCACCTCTCTCCCTCTCTTAAAAAAAAAAAAAAGTTTCTCTTTCCTTTATATAAAGCTTTCCAGGTAGTTACTACCTTTCCTTTTAAGGTTGGCATTGAGTCAAGGGTTATGTAGGAGCACATGTTTTTGCAAATACATAAGACATCTTGGTCATCTCTTTATTGTTTATTTTGAATTTTATTGGATTATAATCTGCAAATGCATGTGGTGAAATCCTAATTTTAAAAAATGTATTAAGGCTTTCTTTGTAAGAAAGAAAATGTATTTGTGGGATTTAAGGCTATGTATATTTATATTGTATATATAATTATATCAGAGCACTTTTAGACTACTATATCTTCTTCATAAATGTTGATTTCAACATCATGTCCTTCTTTATTAAGTTCAGCACTTTTTTTTAAAGATTTATTTATTTATTTCAGAGAGAGAAAGATTGAGAGAGAGAGCATGCGTGCACAGGGGGAGGGGCAGAGGAAGAGGATCTCAAGCAGACTCAACACTAAGCACGGAGCCTTACACAGGGCTCGATCCCACAACACTGAGATCATGACCTGAGCTGAAGCCAAGAATCAGATGCTCAACCGACTGCGCCACCCAGGCACCCCAGTTTAGCACTTTAAATGTTCAATTCTAATAATTTATTTTGCCTGGCTATATTTTTTTGCCATCCCTTTATTTTTATTTTATTTCTCTTGTGTGTTTCTTTTGAACAGAATATAGATGAGTGCAGTTTTTGAAACCTTATTTTGAAAAAAATTTTAATTGACAGAAAAGTTGCAAGACAAGGATAATGAACTCTAGATTCACCAACTGTTAACATTTTGCCACATTTCTTCTCTCTCTGTCCCTCTCATCCCTCTCTCCCGCCGTGTGTGTGTGTGTGTGTGTGTGTGTGTGTGTGTGTGTGTGTTGTGGGTATGTTGACTGAACCATTTAAGAGCAGGCTGCAGATATTTTAAACATTCACCCTCCTAAATATTTCAGGAAAGTTTACATTGATATAAAACTATTATCTCATAAATAGTTCATATTTAAATTTCACCAATCTTACAATACTGCCCCATCAATAGTAATTTTTCCTAATCCTGGACCACACATTGTCTGTAATTGTCCTATATCCCTGGTCTCCTTTAATCTCTAACAAGGCCTCAGCCTTTTCATCTTTCATGATATTGACATTTTGAAGAGTCCAGGTTAGCTGTTTTGCAGATTGTTCCTCATGTAGGATGGTTTCAAACTATTGGACAGACCAGTAGTTTCCTATTAATTTCAGAATATGAATCTTTGGCAGGAATATTCTATAAGTGATGCTGTATCCTTCATACATCACAATATGATGTACACGATTTAAGTTTTTCCCATTGTTGATGGTATTAATGTGGTTTTCTCCTCTGGAGAGAGTTTTCTCCTCTCTCTTCCTGTTTTCTCCACTGGAAAGCTACAATTTCCACCTTGTAAATAAAAAGAAATCTGTGATGATATTATTTGAAACTGTATGTATTTTTCACGCAATGGCTTTAGTACCCATTGATGATTCTTTTAGTACCCACTGATGATCCATTGTTACTATAATGGTTTTTAATGTAGTTTTCTTTTTACCTTAACCTTAATTGTAATCTCTGTATCTGGTGGGATAATTAACCTTTTCATATTTAGCCATATACTTAACTACCTTCCTTCCATCTTAACTTTATATATACACTATTTATTTTAAATTTATTTTAAATTGTACTTTCTTCTTTTTTTCTTTCCCCTATTTTGCTGTGCTGGTCTGAGCAAGTTGCTATCCATTCCATGTTTTCTCCTTGGTAATGTTCTATTATACTTATCCACCGCACTAACATTCACTGTCTTTTATCTGCTTCCGTAACCAAAAACATATGTTCCAAATATGTCTTAGCATTCTGGCACACTATTTCTTAGCTCTAACATCCCATCCATTCCCACTTCTGTAAACTCAAAAAAGAACCTTAAAATACTGTGTTTCTTCTTCATTTCAGCTTTCCTCTCTCCACTCTGAGGAAAACCATTTCCCTTCCCTTTTCCCCCTCATATTGAAGTATCTCTTTTCATTTTTTGTTTGGTCAAGTCTTCCCTCAAATATTTTTCAGGTGATATATTCCTAAGCATATCCCCGAGCATCTTCCTTTGCTTCTCCAGGTATAGGATATCCTGGCTTCATTAGGATGCAGGGGGTCTGCTGTTTCTCTCAGTGGTCTATGACAAGTCCCATGCCAGTCAGAGAATTTTCCCTTGTAAGGAACTTGTTGTCAGTTACTGCCAAACATGCAGTGGCTGGAAGGGGATCATTTGAAGTGCAAGTCACTGGGGGATACACTGTCTCTAACAAATTTTAAACCAATTTTAAACTAAAAGTTGGGCTGTTTTTTAGCATCACCATGTACCCTCAATTCTAAACAATGTTAGTGATAAATTACTCCTCCTTGAAAAATATCTTTTGTCTACAATCTAAATAATTCCTGTGGTTAGTGTTAAATTTTAATAATATATGTGTAGGGTACCAGTTGGCATATTTTTATTCCTTACCTTTAATAAAGCATACTCTAGCTTGTACTCTGCATGTAAGAATCAATACTAAAATAACAAAGCTATTGGCAGAATATAATTTCTGGAATTTATTGTGAAACAGGAATTTTATGTATCTCTTAAACATGAATATATAGTAAAGATCAATTTTGAGAATGCCATTGACAAATCTTCAAAATTTAAGGCTTACAAACAAAATTTGCACCTTATTTCTGTGATAGACTAATATATATATAACTATGAATGCTTTTTTTCCTTTCTTAGAAAATACATTCATATAATTAAACAGTATTAACCTATTACTTGTTTCACTTTTGGTATTAGAATATTCTCTTTTTTTTTATATGTTTCACAAAGGTCAATTTTCACTATTAATTTTTTTCCTGGCCATTATTTGCCTTGTTCAATAATTAGTACTAAAAATAATATTATTATATAGAGGAGAGGGGTGTTAAGAAAATTATCTGCTTGGGGCGTCAAACATCCTGAGCACATCACTGCCTGTTCTTTCTCTCTGGAAATGGCATACAGTGTTTTTTTCCCAGGATATTCCCGTGTCTGTGTTTTTGCACATCAGTTGAGGCTGGGCCACTGGAAGCCCTTTCAATTGGCAGATGCATTTATTTCTTCATTTCAGGGAATTTATTTCCCTATTCTTTGTCAAAATATAGCTTGTTCATCTGTTCTTTCTTCTCTGTATGGAATTTTTCTTACTAGCACACTGGTTTTCCCAGTATAGTCTCCACATTTCTTATTCTCTTGCTCTCATGACGTCTGTCTCATTTTATTTCTGTACTCTAAGCTATTTCTTTCATCTGATTTTCCAAGTCATTAATTCAAGTCTCAAACAACTATCACACTAATTCTCCACTGAATTTAGAGTTCAAATCACTATTTTATAGTTCAAATTTGAAAGTCTCTTTTTATGCGTGTGTAGCACTTGAATCTCAAGCATTAGTAGTAGTAGTTATATATTATTATTAGTTATATATTATTATTAGTCTTGAGCATTATATATTATTATTAGTAGTAATAGTATTACTATTATTTTACTTAAAGATTTTTCCAGCCCTAGCAGTTCTTTTTCACTGGGCTTATGTTTTGATTTTTGTGTAGATCTTCCTTTCTCTGGCTGCTAGTCTCCTTGAGGTGGATCGTCATTTTTCTTGGTTGGTTTATTGGGGCTTACATCTCATTTTTGGTATGCTAGGTGTTGGAAACCCTACAGCTGAAAGACAAAAATGGCCTCTAGGCTACAAGCAAGCAAGCTGTCATTCCCCTGTGGGAAAAAATGGTTAAGAGCCCTTATAGAACTGGTCCTCAAAGGCAGGCAATTTTGGTAATTCTGCTCAGCTCCATCTTGGGCTTTTGGGGGAGAGGGAGGTCAGGAAGGCCCAGTGAAGTCCAGTATCAACCTGGCCCTGGGGAGTCACAAGTCTGTTTGTTCTTTCCAAGACTGGTGTTTGTCTGGGGTTCTGGTCCCCTGTGATTGAGCTCAGGCACTCCCCCAAGCTGTCAGAGGAGAAAGCACCACACCACCGCCCTCCCCTTCTCCTTAGTTCTGGACCAACAGAACTCCAGGTCACACCTATGGCCAGATGCTTATGAACACAGGTTCCCTTTGATGCTAGAGAGGCAAGAAAGGTCTGGAGATGGGAGTAGAGAGTAAAGGTACAGAATTCAGACTGCTCTGATCCCAGAAATACTTTTAAAGATTATTTTAGGAATTGTATCTATTATCTTCAATTTAAATGAGAGTTTTATAAAAGAAAAACTTGCTCTCTATAGCTATGACATGTATAGACATAAATGGGTTATTAGACACTTTGTATGGAGAGAGAAATATATTATAGGAGGTAGGAACTAACATCTTCACTCAGTCTTAAAGATTTGGAGCTGAAAGGGACTTTAGAGATCATTTCATTTCCTCCCATCTTTGTATCCCCAGGGCTTGGCACATAGTAGGACTTTAATAAATACTAGATAAATGGAAGGATGCATAATAGAATGAATGGGTGAGTGAGTGAAGACTGCCAGTAACTACTTATCTGACTCTGGACAATGTAGCTAATAGAACCACACCTTGCTCTTCCAGTAGAATGACTGGAAAGCAAAGATAAATGACTCTGACCTTTGAGTTAATACACAGGTGGATTAAGGAGACAGACATGCAAATGGATAACAGACTGTGATCAAAAGTCATCATGAACAAATCTGGGATCTGGATGAAAACTGTGGCTGCCTGTGCCCTGTTTTCCTGGGTCCTCCTCCTGGCCAGCCACTGGGTCCAGTGGGTTACTGCTGACATGCAGAAAGTCTTCCCAGACCATGTGGGTTCACAGTGAGTTTTTCTCTGTGGGACAACCACCCTGACCAAGAAGGGGAGCTTTGCTCATGTTCGCAGAAGGAGCCACCTACCGCTCCCAGTCTAATTGCTCTGCTTTTAATTTCCTTTCTTCCTCACCCACCAGCCCCACCACCACCCAGAGAGGAAGGTGAGCAGGCTTTGAGGTAGGGGAGAGGTAGCCATAAAGAAAGAAAGTGAACAGACATGTAAATCACTCATGAGAGTTTATGTCCTTGGTCCTTTGGGTTCTGGGTTCACTTAAAAGATAACAGTAGAAGTGCTTGGCACCTGTTATGCTTTGCTTCCAGAACACGAGCTGTGAAAACGGATTCCCAGACAAACACGCTCCCCACCACTCCATGCTGCCTGCCTGTGGCCACTACTCAGGATAAACATGGGCCAAAGGCAAATGGAGTCTCTAAGTTCAGAAAGAAAATACTGCAGAATTTTCCAAAGCAAGACTAACACATCTCACTCCACACCCACCCCGCAAATGGCCTAAACTGTTCATCTTATTGCGTCAGTATTCAACAACTAGAGACAACTGCTTTTCAAAGTTGGATGTGACACAGACTCACCAGAATGATGGCACAAGTGGAATGCTGACTTCTGTTATGCAAGCTGCATCAATGAGTGCTTCACAGAACATTTTTTTAATGGCTCAAAAGTTCTGGTATGAAGTCTGGTATCTTTTTAAGTGGAACGCTTCCCACCCAAACCTTCCCTCTGATCACTGACTATCATTCCCCCTTAAAACTGTAAAAATAAGTACTACTGTTCACAAAGCCCTTTGTCAGCAGCTGGCTTAACTTTAAGCCCCTCAATCCCATTTAAAACTTGGAACTAATGACCGTAGGGTCACCCTGCTACCTAAAACATATCACACTGTAGGAACCAGCAGATATAGCTACTCAAGAAAAGCCACTACACACATTAATAAGACAACAAGGAGTTCTGGAGATGCCCTGCCAGAAAACGCAATGAAGATGCGCTGTCCATCAGGAAGAAATACATCATGGAATCTCGAGACTCAGCTCCTCTCAGCAGGTTCTTACCCATCTTTGTTCCACGCATTGCTCTGATGACTCTTGTGGTAAACTGAACTTTCTGAGTCTTCCGAGGAATAAAAGGCACAAATAGCAGTGCATAAAACCAACACTCTGTCTGGTACTTATATTCATTTTCAAATATTTAAAAACCCATTAGTGCAAATATACAACCATTTAGTTCTTAGCAATTTATAACCACTAACTGCCTTAAGTAAAAAAGGGGAAAGAGTACATCTGATGTCTTTAGGATGCAGGGCAGGTGGGAGTGAATGTGGGGAGACAGGAGAGGAGAGAGACCTAGCAGGAATTACACATGGTCCCAATATACCCCTGGGGCCCCAGGCTGGGAGGCCAGACTGGTGGGCCCAGCTTTAGAAAGATAAACAGGGCACATTTTTCCCTTTCTAATCCTCTTGACATAAACTTTCAGGGAAATCCCAGCTTTACTGTATATATGGTTTTTTAGATTGACTGGAAGAAATATTTGTGGCTCCAACATAAAAATGTGTGTTCTTGGGAGCACCTGGGGGCTCAGTCAGTTAAGCATCTGCCTTCAGCTCAGGTTATGATACTGGGGCCCTGGGATCGAGTCCCGCATCGGGCTCCCTGTCAGTGGGAGGCTGCTTCTCCCTCTGTGATCTCTCTCTCTCTCTCACATAAATAAATAAAATCTTTAAAAAATGTACATTCTTAGATGGGGTGCCTGGGTGGCTCAAATGGTTAGGCATCTGCCTTCGGCTCAGGTTATGATCCCAGGGTCCTGGGATCAAGCCCCGCATTGGGCTCCTGGCTCAGCGGAGAGCCTGCTTCTCCCTCTCCCTCTGCCTCTCCTCCTGCTCATGCTCTCTCTCTCTGTATCTCTGTGTCTCAAATGAATAAATAAAATCTTTAAAAAAATAAAAATAAAAATAAAATGTACATTCTTAGATCTTGAGATATTTGGATATTACACTTCATTACCTACTAACACAACATATAATGGTAAGTTTCCTTGTCTCAAGATACCTGTCCCGCTTCTTCCTCATCATTGGAGTCGTGACCATAGCAAGGTGATCCTCATATATTTCTTTAGCTTCTGTCTCAGGATCAGATTCAGTTTCCCCCAGGGCAGGCTGCTCTTCATTTCCTTGAGATATAACTAGAATATGGCTTAGGCCACTGGTCATAAAAAGGACAAAATCTTCAAAGTCAGGCTATAAATAAGATGATAAACTGCTTACTCCAGGCTTCTGAAATAGATAGACTAAAACGACAGCCACTCCCCAACCCAAGCAACATCGTCCCCTTCCTGATCACCAGGCAAGCGAGTGTTAGCTCTAATCCTTCAAAGGTGTGATTGTTGGCCCTGTGAACAATCACACCTTTGAAGGATGAAAGTTCACAGCTCACAGGGATTGATCTTAAAGATGGTCTAATAACCATTCTCAAACATCAGGATGCTTCCAAATCATCTGCTGGGCTTGTTAAAAACACTGATTTGGAAAGCCCAATCCCAGAGTTCATGATTCAGGAGGCTGAGGGTGGGGCTTTGGAAGTGGACTATCTCAAAAGTTCCCACGTGATGCTGAGGCAGTGGGCCCAACCTTTTCCTAGGGCCAAGAGAGGTGGTTTGAGTGTTGCAGCCAGCTGACATAGTGCCATTCACTAGAACTTTCTTTGATAACAAACATGTTCTTCTAGGCTCTCCAACACGAGTAGCCACGTACAGCTACTGAGCCCTTGAAATGTGGCCAGTGCAACCTGAAACTCTGAATTTTTTTTTACTTGATTTGATTTTAATGAATTTTAAATTCAAATGGCCACATGTAGCTGATGGCTACCGGACTGGACAGGAGATTTCCAGAAGCTATGTCTTCCGACCCCCAAGCCACTGCCCTTTCCAATACACAGCACTGCCTTTCTTATACTCTCCCATGCAGAAGAGAAAATAGCTTGGGGCATGGGCCTTTAGGTAATGAAAGGATTAAAGCTTCCCTGTGAGGTTTACGACAAGGAGCCTTCAACCTGGAATAAAAATCTATAGGAAAGTCCTGGGTATTCACTTCCAGAGGTTGATACAGGGAGTCTGAGAGCACATAAGTTGAACAGGGCTTCACTCCAACAAAGTGCAATCGGACCATCCACTCTTGCTCAGCTGCTACTGTTTCTGCTGGAGACTTCCCCGTCATCACCTTCTTTGGCTTTACCACCATCTGGACACCAAGACGGACAATGGAGCTTATCTGGCTGGTCAGACTTATTCATTTGCTTTTCTAAGAGGAGGGTTCCAAACTTACAGGAATCTACTGCATTTGAAAACACAGCAGCTTTTTTTTTGGTTTGTGTCTAACTTCCTTACCTGGTGTGCTATCCGATGATAGAAGTCCCTTACTTGTTGCTCAGTGAACACTCTCTTATCTTCGATTTCTATCACAAAGCCTGCCTTGATGATCTTCACAGGGAGAGTGAGTCAGATTCAGACGTGCCGGGGAGCACATGTAAGACAAGTCAAGGACATTTATTTCCTGTGTTTAACAAACCACCCAGATTTGAACGCATTTCAGGTAAAGACCTCAGCACGACCCATAGGGCACTAGGTCTGAAGAGGCTCAAAACTACATAAAGATGGACCCTGTAATGCCTTCTGGTCCGTAAGTTTTCAAGGCTCGAACCACAGACTCTGCAGTATTTCTATTATTTAGGTGACTTGTCCCAACATATGAAAGAACTAACTAAATTCCAAGGGAAGATATCGTGCTTTCTGAATCATTCACAAAGACATACATTTATAAGCACTTTTTAACCACTATCTTCAAAATTGGTTTAACATTATTTCTTAAAAGGTTTTCCTTTGTTTAGGCTGTAACTCACAATCTAGTATATTTTACACTTTAAAACAAAAAAAAAAAAAAAAAAAAAACAACTATCCAAGCTATGGGGAAGGTTAGAATTTAAGATTTAGCCATGCTTTGTCTTAAAAAAAAAAACAAACTTTAATGATAAATCCAGTTTGCGTGTCACTCAACTATAGTAAAATATAACAAAGAGAAGTTTGAAGCAAATATGCCAAGTCTAATGAGGTACTAAACAATGTAATATAAGTATAATCTGGGTTCCAAGCAACTCAGTAATTACAGTTTGATGGGAGTATCCAGCACCAGGTATCTTCTGCTTCTATTATTAAAGTAAACACTGTACTGGTTCCATTGGTCTTTTGATATGGTAGAGCACTACTTACATCCTTCTGAACCCTCTCCTAACAGTCCAATTTGAATAATTTCTGAATACTCAAATCATGCCTTTGTTACATTACTTAGTGTCTGACAACAGAAAGTAAAATCCAACAATCAATATTTAAACTTGCTAAGTTTTCCTTTACTGTAATTGAAAAATGTAGTGTGTTCATTTTTTTCTATTCAAAACATTCTTTCATTTTTTGTCCTCTTTGCTATTAGCCCTTTACCATATTCCAGAGAGGTGAGGTATTTAGGAGATATTCATAATTTACATTTCTGAAATGTTATTTTCTATATTAAAACAAAAACGATTAAGATGAACTTATGATTAATAGAATTGCCCCAACCAAAAGAACTAAATAACTTTGAAAAGCTTTATTGTCCTAGCTAATTAAAATATACTTGAATACGGAACAGTAAACCATTACTATGTGATATTACTTTTTTAAACTTTATAAAGTATAAGTAATCTATGGAGGGTGGTGGTACAGTTTGATGCCCCCCCCCACATATGCACCAAATTCTGGAAGAAAAGGGCTATCCTTAGAGAGTGATTTTTATTAAATCAATGCACAAATGGAAGAAACCATACATCCCATGACCACGGACCATGGACTTTCTTGTAGTTTAATCGGTGATAATGCTGCTGTAGCTAGAGTGCATGATGAGAAGTTCAATGGATGGCCAACCCCTCCTGATAGCACCCCAGGTGACCTCCTGTATTCCCCAGGCAACATTCTTTCAAATTTCAATTTACTGTTGCTGTGTCAAAACAAAGTCACTATTATGGAGTCAACAAAGTAGGAAGAGGAAAAGATGGTGGAGGAGTAGGGGACCCTATTCCAACTGGTCCCCGGAATTGAGCTAGACATCTACCAGACACTCAGAGTACCCACAAAATCAGCCTGAGATATAAGAAGATCTGGATGTCTACAAACAGAATATTGCAGGCGGTTGGTTTCCAGATACGAAGTGGGGAGCCATGATTCCATAGGCAGATATCGCAAGAGAAACGGCAGTGGGAGGGAGCCTGGCCGTGGGGATCCTACACCGCTGGTGAGCGACAGCCTGGCACTCTGGGGACGGGCACAGACTTGCAGCCCGGTAGCGGCAGGGAAAGGACTTTAGGACAGCCCCCGGGGTGGAAACCCAGAGCAGAGGGGTCGCATGTGTGAACTGGAAGTGGCTAGTGGTTATAGAAGCACAAAGGGCAGAGACGTGCCCAACCTGAAAGCAGGACTGGGAGCACTGCTGAGGAGCGCACAATCCAGGATGCTGAAGTTTATAGCAGCATGGACAGAAATGGAAATACTGTGGCCTGGAGAGCTCACTGAAGAACAGACTGAGGTCTCTCTGCTCTGAGGCAAAGGGTTGGAAATAATCTCTTCTGTTCTGGCTCTCAGAAGAGATGCTGAAAGCCACCAGGGAGAGCCACCAGAGAACAAAAGTCCGCCAAAAATGGTTCCCACTTAGCCC